GCCAAGAGAGTGTCTCCTGCCTCCAAGGAGGTACTACAGGAGTTCCCAGAATCCTCAGGAGAGGGCATGCCCCCGCAGAGGCCTCATTGGCTATATCCTGATTGACAGGCCAGACTCCACCCCTAACTCTCAATCCTCAATTGACACCAGATTATGTAACTATCACACCAGGGTAAAAGGGTATATAAATGTATTTTATATTTTAATACATATTACCAAATTGTTTACTAGATTAGCTTACTATTTATACTATTAAAAAAGTATCTGTTTCCTCATGTTGCTACTACTGTGTGTTTACTAATGTATTTAGCTTAAAATTAAAGAATATTGTTTGGGTTTTTTTAGTCCTAATAATGCAGGGGTGATGCTGAAGAGTAAAATGGTAAATAAGGATTATCTTAGGGTAAGGATATCAACAATAAGTCTATGTGTTTAATACACTGAGAACAAACTATATTTCTTTTTTAAAAATTTTAATAAATCATTTTATTGGGGGCTCTTACAGCTCTTCAAACTTTATTTCTTAAGGAATTGAAGAAATATTTATATCTAAAGAAACCACAAAGTAAACAAAATTATAGGGCAAAACTTTTTCTTCTATATTCTGACATGTAGATTGAGGACATTTAATGACTGAAAACAAAACCTTAGAGGGAAAACCTCATTGGTCAAAAGTATTTTTCTTAGCTTGCATAAGGGAGTCTTTTCAGACACATTATTAGAGCAAGCCTCTGCTAGAAACCACAGGGTAAGTCTATTACACATTCTTACCCAAAATATCCTAATTCAGATCTTTCTATTATTATTGAAATCATGCATAAAAACTCAAACACAAATGGACTTCTCCTTTAACACAGCTAACCACGGTTTCAATCACTGAGAACTCCAAGTGCTAGCTGGCAAAGCAGGTATGTAGAAGAAATGTTCCGTTAATTTAAAAATAGATGAAAATGGCGAGTTCTGGTTATATGAAGGACTATTATATTGACGAGCATCACTAGGCGGTCATTACTTTCTTTACTAATTCAGATGTGGGACTCAGAAATATTACAATACATTTTGTCAATAGTCAGCCGTTAAAGGCAGCAAATTGGCTTCCATTGATTAGTACACTGGAACCACGTGCACTGGAGTAATATTTAAAACAGGGATATAATGTCATACTACCATACTGCCTCAGGGCCGTGTGTTTTGATTCTAAAATATCTCACTTTATGTTAGATATAACTTTAGAACTGCTCAACACTACCTCCTACTTCTGTAGTATAATGCTCAAACAGCTCAGAACACACTTCCTAATTAAAGCAAATGAACCAAAAGAATAAAGAGTATACACACCTTATTATATTTAAACTTGACTCCATCAAGTTTATAACACATACTAGGTTTTCCCTGTTGACATTACGCTTCTAATAGGATCTAATTGGATGAAAAGTATATTACCCAGAGTTTATATCCATGTAACAAGCACCTAGGAGCTCTCGTGGTGTAGAGGTGACTTGTTAGGCTGCGATCCACAAAGTTACCAGTTCAAACCACCAGCCAGCTTCAAAGGAGAAAGCCTGGCTTTCTACTCCTGTAACGCACTGCAGTCTCAGAAACTCAGAGACAGTTCCACACTGTGCTCAAGGGTTGCTATAAGTTGGCAACGACTGGATGGCACTGTGTGGTTTCATTTTGAAAGAAAATAAGTTATCAGTAAAACAATTCTTCTAAAAAAAAGGGGGGGAAAAGAGCAAGTTCCAATATAGGAGGATCTTTTACTTCATAGTATATTAAATGCCCATTATATAAAATAACCTTGTAAAGAGTCCAACTGCTATAAAAAGAAGAGAAAGGAGTGAAGAAAAAGTAGCTGCTTACCAACAAGTTTTCATCCAGGTTTCCTGCTCCATCTTCCTTCATCACTATGTTGGAGAGGCAGTTCTCACAGGTGGAGAGGACCTCCACGCACGCCTGCCCCAGCAGTTCCTGTGGGGAGTTGAAGGTCATTTCTGAAAGAATGCACACATCTACCAGACCGGGTCGCCAAAATGCAGCTCTTGAGCCCTATCCGCCTCGTTCAATATGTACATGCAGCTCTGAAGTAAGACTGAAAAAATTTAAAGGACACTATTCAGATAAAGGTGTCGCCATTTGTTTGTAAAAATATATTTATGGCTCTCAAATAATTGAATTGTTGTGAAGGGCAGGATTGGCTCTTCTGTCTCAAAAGTTTGCCGCACCTGTACTGGACTTTCTACAAAACTCACATTTCTCCGAAGAAGCCTTATTAACTTCAAATGAATCAAAGATAAACCATGGAAAACACTTGTCACCCTACTTTTGTAAGCTTCCTCTTTCCCGAACTTGGCCATAGCCAAAATAACACCCTTTTAGCCAGCAATCTAGCTATTGGAACTGCTTATATAGAATGATCAAGATGTGTGTGTGTTAAATACGTTTCTGTATTTGCCCTGCAAGGGCCAAAGGAGTCTAAGCCAGCAGTGCGTCGACAGCAACAGGTAGAATCCTCTCTAATTCACAGGCCATCGAACACCTAGCGGCCTCCCAAACCAGAGAAACAATGCAGTCATTGTGGCAAAAGCACGTGGTGAATTCACTTCTTTCAATAATTTATTTTTAAAAGAACAACAAAATTATTACTCACATACTTACTCATTAATTTATTCATGTTCTAATTAGACTGGCTCAACGGTTGTTAAAATCATCTCAGTCCACAATACCTAATTGCATTTGTATGTTTAGGGAGGGAGCCTCCAAGAGACCCTAAAACTCTTTGGCTTATTTTCTCTAGAAGAGTGCCCCAAAATTCTAAGAATGAACTAAGTGCCCCCAGCTCAGTGCTTCCATGCACACGTTCATTGTAACAATTATGCTGAGTTCATCCGTCCACATGCGCATCTCTCCTCTACTACACAGTAGAGAACTGAAGAATGGGCACTTGCCTTAATCGTTGTCCTGTGGCTTAAAGGTACTACACCACAAGAGGGCACCTACTCAATGTTTGTCATACTGTTGGCAAATCATCAAGATCAAAGTGATTTTTCAGTCTGCTTTGACCTAACATATTTCAGAATCCTGCCTTTTAAATTTTTCTTTCGTTTCTTTTCCTTTTCTTTTTGGGGAATATACACAGCAAAAACCTGCTCCCATTAGTTTCTACACATAATTACCGGTGACATCGACTACATCCCCATCACAGTGGGTCATTGTTCTTGTTACTTCTGCCCTAGTTGTTTCCCTCCATTTAGTTAATCTCCCTGACTGCCACAGCCTTCTCATCTATGTTTTTAAAAAAATCATTTTATTAGGGGCTCATACAACTCTCATCACAATCAATACATACATCAATTGCATAAAGCACATTTGTGCATCCATTGCCCTCATCATCCTCAAAACATTTGTTCTCCACTTAACCCCTGGCATCAGCTCCTCATTTTCCCCCTTCCTCCCCACTACCCACTCTCATGAACCCTTGATAATTTATAAATTATTAGTTTGTCATATCTTACACTGTCCAACGTCTCCCTTCACCCACTTTTCTGTTGTCTGTCCCCCAGGGAGGAGGTTATATATAGATCCACCCCACCCTCCCTCCACCCTCCCGGTATCGCCACTCTCACCACTGGTCCTGAAGGGATCATCTGCCCTGGATTCCCCGTGTTTCCAGTTCCTATCTATACCAGCGTACATCCTCTGGTCTAGCCAGATTTGTAAGGCAGAATTGGGATCATGATAGTGGGGGAGGGGGAGGAGGCTCATCTATGTTTTAAAACAGCTGTTGACCCATTGGTCTTATATAATTAAAAAATAATAAACACAATTCTCACAGGTGATCATCTTTACTCTTTGGGCTAAACTCTTACATGGCGAAAGAGAATGTTTAAGGAATAGTTTTAATTCAACTCAGGGCCATAGTACTAGGGACTCTTCCAGCAGCAAAATGTCCAGTAAGTTTGGATTATCTAAGACACAAAATGTCTTTTCCACCTACTTCTCCTGTTTGATCGGGATTCACACAGAGTGTTTTTGATCAGAATGTTCAGTGGCGGTAGCTGGGCGCATCCAGTTCTGCTCTCAAATGCAGAAAGCAAGGGTTCTGACAGAGAATGGATCTTGTTGTCCAGTTCCTTCTTCTTGAGTTTGCCTTTATTACTTTAAATGACATACCGCACGCAAGAATTTAACTGGCTGCAAGCTGGACTGTAACATTCACAGACTCCATTCTGATGGGATGATAAAAGCTATCTTATTTGAGACTCCAATTCTGAAACTTGGCCCAGTATCATGGTGAATAACTTTTGGAACCCAACCCCTCACCCTACAATCACGCTAACATTTCATGCAGGTTTCTCATCCACATCCCCATGACTAAGGTCAGGTCTGGAGGAAAGCCTTCAGTATTAAGCAGACCTCACTTTGGTCTTTTCTGGGTCAAAGTATGTCCCCTAATAATGTTTCCATCCACTGGTTCAGAGAGAGCCTCCGGTTATACTAAATGAATTAAAAATAAATTTAACTTTTCTTTCCTTTGAAAATCCTTCATGTATCTGAATTCAGCTACACAGTTTACCTCATAGAATTCTCCCCTGTTCCTTGCTAAACATCCAGGACTGTAAGCTTTTCCTTACATAACTTGCTTTGTAATCCCCTCATCTAGTTGCTCTCCTTAGGATCCATTCACTTTTATCAAGATTTCTCTGAAAAACTATGACTAAAATTGAATTAAAAAGCAAGACAATTTAGATTTAGCACATACCAAGAGCATGGCCAACACCATTCTTATTCTAGACACTACTTCTATTTATATTATTTTTAAATGGCAACCACAAAATACTATTAACTAACTAAGGCCCCGAGCCATGAGACCCTGCAGAGGGCCTGGCTACCCTCACTGCTTGCTCTGAACGGGGTCACTTTAGGAAGCCCGGGATAGAGGGAGCGAAAAATGTGGACAAAACCCCAAAGCATGAAGAAGATCAGGCTTACAGGTCCGATACGAGACTGGCAGACCCCTAAGACTGGTTCTCGGTCACTTTCCAGGCTTGGAAATGAGCTCATCTCAAGGCCCCATTTTCAGCCAAACAGCACACAAGCCTACAAAGAAAAGCAGTACCGCTAGGGAGGTACACACTCGGAATAATCAACCATTTGAGATCACAAGGGCGGAATGTATGCAAGGATAGCATGCAGACAGGTAGGAAAGGAGGAATAAAGGCAGAAAACACAGAAGATGGGATAAGTGATGTGATGTTGTGGGGATTGTACTCAGTGACATGATGTAAATTTGTACAAATGAAATGGAAAACTGATTTGCAGTGTAACCCCTCACCTAATTCACAAAAAATTAAAACAAGGCATTGTTAACTCATACTAGGTACATAAATCCAAACTCACTGCCATTAAGTTGATGCTGACTCCACAGTGCAACTAAGAACAAGTGCACAGATAACCAAATGTCCACTGACCTGCCTTTTCATAAGCACTCCTTCAGGAAATTTGTTTTCCTTAGTTTATTTAAAAAGAAAGCCGTGCTTAGGGAAACGAACAGGTCATAAATGGATTTACAACATCCTAAAATAAAACTCAAAACCAAACTCAATGCCATCAAGTCAACGCCCACTTAGAGCGAGCCTACAGGACAGGCTATAATTACAATTACCCCTCTGAGTACTGAAGACTAACTTTTTCTGAGAGTAAAAAGCCCCATCTTTCTCCTGCAGACATGCTGGTGGTTTCAAACTGCTGACCTTATGCACCACAGACCAACACTAGTAAACACTATGCTCCAGAGCCCCTTCAAGATCTTAAGATGCCAGAAATTCTAAAGGCCTTATCAATGATCTAACAAGTGAGGTGGAGTTTGCAAAGCTAAAATATTGGCCCCTTTTCTTATATTGTGATAAGTTCTATTTCTCTTCCAGTTCTCAACTTCTAAATTGGGAGACAACTCCTGGTCTTCTTCTGGGGTGCCACTTTCTGTTCTAGTGACTAATGGCCACTAGAATGGCCACTAGCAATCAGCCAGTGACTTCTCATGGCCTAAGTGGTCACATTAGAGATAATGCTTTCTCCTTAGTGTTGGTGGAAAATAAACGAGAAAGGAATTGGAAACCTAAGTTTCAGTCACAGGTCTGACTGGGACTCTAGGCTGGGCGCCGCTGAACCTTGTAGGATCACAGGCATTTCATCCATCACATCACCCCACCCCTACACACATACCATGCTTTCCTCTTCTTACCAAACTCACTACAGTTCTAAATTGTCTTCACTGTATTCTGCTATATAAATATTCTTCGTAGTTACAAAACATTCTTTATTTGGAACATTTTCACATGATGACTTGACCTCAGATAAAAGATAAGGGAAATCAAATAATGTATCCCTTTCACCAATGTAAATGCCAAATAGGAAATGTAACATACTAAACAAGGACATCTTTAAGGAACTTATAATAGAAAAGGAGGCACAGGAAGATATCTAGGTGGCTCAGATAAAGATTCACTATTGTCTTTGCTAGCTGTCATGGAGTCAGTTCTGACTTATCGCGGTCCACGTGTAATGAAACACTGCCCAGTCCTGCGCCATCCTCACAATTGCTGTGACTGAGCTCGTCATTGCAGCCACGCTGCCAATCTCTCTTGGTGAGCATCATCCTCTTTTTCACGGATAATCTACTCTATCCAGCATGATGTCCTTCTCCAAGGATTGGACCCTCTTGATAACACACAATCAGAGTAAGCGAGACAGTCTCACTATCTTCAATTCTAAGAACAACCTGACATATTTGCTCATGCTTCAGGAATTCTATAGTTTAATTCTGTCAACATCATACTTCAAAAGCTCCTGTTCTTGTTTTTTCTTATCCACCGTCCAGATTTTACACACACGAGGCAACTGAAAATACCCTGGCTTAATCACAAAGGGTCAAACACTGAATGAGGACACTGGTAAAAAAATAAACTTTCATACCAAAGGGAACAGACTGTAGAGCAGTGGTTGTCAACCTTCCTAATGCCGTGACCCTTTAATACAGTTCCTCATGTTGTGGTGGGCCCCCAACCATAACATGATTTTCGTAACTACTTTATAACTGTAATTTTGCTACTGTTATGAATTGAGAGACCCCTGTGAAAGGGACATTGACCCCCAAAGGGGTTGCGACCGACAGGTTGAGAACCGCTGCTGTAGAGCGTGCCAAAGGGAGAGGGCACAGGAGGGAAGATTCAGTTACGGGCTGGGCTACTGATGGGTGTTAATTTGGGTAAAATGGAAGGTAACAGCCCATAGGAGGGACAAGAGAAATCAAGGAGCAAGCGAAGGGTAAACTATTGGGAATTTGATTAGTGACTTAAACTGCGAAATACAAAGTTCATGATCTGAAATGTAAACCCTCTCACCTAATGTACATTTTTTAATGTTAAAAACATAAAGAGTATTGTTTTGCAAACCCTATGGGATGCTCCTACTTTGTCCTCACAGGTTGCTGTGACTCAGAATTGTAAAACAAGACACAAAGAGTACACCTTTTAGTACTGATGACACCTCAGGAAAAAACAAAACTCTCATCACTAGACCAATAAGAACATGGGGACAGTGGGAAAGAGCACATTACAATTGTACAAGGATTTCATTTTACTTGGATCCATAACCAACATCCATAAAAACAGCAGTTTAAGAAATCAAAGGAAGCACGACAAATCTGCTGCAAGAGACCTCTTTAACGTGTTAAAGAGGAAAGATGTCACTTTAAGGACCAGGTCAGCTGCACCTGACCTGCGCTATGGTGTTTTTCATAGCCTCATATGCACGTGAAAGCCGAACAAGGAATAGGGAAGATAAAAGAACTACTGATGGCTTTGAATTATAGTGTTGGCTAAAAATATCGAATACACCACGGACGTAGTGGCGTCATTACGAGAGTACAGGAGGCACTGCACTGGTGACAACGTCGGAGGAGACGACATCAAAAGAACGGTCTATAAACTTCTGGGCAGTGTTCATTGCTTCAGCAGAAACCTAATATTTTATGAAAATATACCTACTTAGTCATAATAACAAAATAATTTCTGTAAACCTAGTTTACATATATCAATATACATACAAGGTGAAAACTATATGCTTAATTTGCTTACTGAACTTTTTAATGCACTCTAATTGGTACTGTTATTAGTAATCAATTACAAGCTTTTGTCTGTACATAGCATAAACGTGAATTGGTTTCTTTGCTTACAGTGTTTTTAAGTCACTAATTTTGTGAAGTTTTCTGATGTTTTCAGCACAAAATTGTGGTAATTCATATTTGTGAGAAACTATCCATTTTTTTGGAAAATGGAGTAGTAATTAAATGAAAAGGAGAAAAAGTTTTAATATGGTATAATGTAAAAAGATCTGAATTTGTTAGTATTCTTATAATCTAAGAAATACTACTTTTAAGCAATTTACAGCTATATAATCACATATTACTCTATGATTAAAATTGGTAATAAACATAAAGGAGGGAGCGGGGCAGGGAGGAATGAAAGGAAGGAAGCAAGAAGCTATCACACCTTGGGCCAGGTATACCTTAGTCCTCAAAAGACTAGTTTTTTAATTTCAGTAAAGTTTAGAATACATTATAACAAGTACTTAAATTATTTTTGACTTCTAGAATCATGATTAATAACCCAGAGTCCTACGATGTATAATCATGCTTGCTAATGTCTAGGAGGAGTTCTGGTGGCTTGGGGGGTTATACATTGAACTGTTAATCACAAGGTCCAGGATTCAAAACCACCGGCCTGTCTCTGGGTGAAAGATGAGGCTTTGTACTCTCTTAAAGAGTTAAATCTTGGGAACCCTCAGGGGCAGTTCTACTCTGTCTTGAGGGTTGCTATGAGTTGAATTTACTCTATGGCAGTGAGTGAGATATAAAATTCACGATAAAAACAGAATTTGTGATAATAACACTTATCAAGATATTGCTAAGGATACAGTTTAGGAAGTTGTTATGGATTGAATGGTGTTCTTCCACAAATACAGTTAAGAGCTAATCCCTACAACCTATGTCTGTGACTTAATTTGGAAATAGGGTCTTAGGACATAGCTAAAATGAAGTCATACTAGAGTGGGTAGGTTGTAATAAACACAGAACTGGTTTATTAAAAAAAAAAGAGTGAGGCAGAAAGTAAGATGGTCACATAAAGACATAGGTATAGATAGGCGTACAACTGCCACAAAGCAAGGAAAAGCTGGGGCTACCAGAAGTTGGAAGAAACAAGAAAGGATGTCACCTAGCCCCAACTCCTGAGAACCTTTGAAGACAGCACAAGTCAGACATTCTAAAACCAGACGCCAGCCTCCAGCGCCATTGTGTCTAAATCAGTTGCTTCAAGCTACCCAGTTTGTGATGCTTTGTTACAGCCGCCCTTGGAAGTTACTACCAGCCTGACGTAAAATCATGACTTCTATTTGTATTCCTGTACCTCTATAAGCCAGATGCAGATTACGGCCTACATCTGGGAGTGTGACTAAGGAGACACCAGCAATCGCTCTTCCAGGACTATAGCATTTAAAGTAATATGATAGGCATTTTCTAGGGTCCTGGCTTATCAGCTCATCAAAAGATCAGAAATGTTCTGCTCCAGAGGGAGCCCTCTGAATAGTAGGGAAAGTGTCTATGCAATCTTGGAATGAGGGTACAGGTGATGATGGAGGAGGATATACTAACCAAACTTAAGTACCCTCGCTGCAACTTATCAAATGGCAACTTTTATTGTTTTAAAGATCTTTTTATTGGGGGCTCTTACAGCTCTTATAACAATCCATACATCATTTGTATCAAGCATATTTGTACATATGTTGCCATCATTATTTTCTAAACATTTGCATTCTATTTGAGTCCTTGGTATCAGCTCATTTTTACCCTCCCTCCCACCCACATGACCCCTTGATAAATTATACATTATTTTCATATCTTACCACTGAAAAGACGACCTTTATCAAAAGATTACCTTGTAAATTTATCAAAGTTAACCTTTCAGAATTCTTCCGAGGATATATCACCCAATGTATGTTTTACCTCCATCAGCAGAATTGCCTTACTGGAAGACATTTGTACCTATAACTAAAGTGGTAACTGATAAAGGAATCATGTACCTGGCAACCAAAATCTTCTTGAGGAAATCTTCTCAAAGAACATTGCTTATCCCACAAATTTTTCTCATTGTAATGGCTGCTGGGGACTGCCTATCCACACATGTTACTTATAAAGTGATTTCCATTTCAAAGCAAACCAAGCACTGTGTCTAAGCACAAATCAAATTATAAGCATATCAGTGAGTTAGTCTTACCCGTTCCTCTACCGATGTCTGTGCAGATGCTCTGCAGAGTCCTTGCAACGTATCCACAGCTGCACTGATCACCTCGAACGACCACTGAAAGCCACTCAGCTTACACTTGATAACATCTGTAAAGGAAGTCAAAACCTCACAAGTATGACTGCGAAACAAAAAGCCAGCACCACCCCCTCCCCCATACACACGAGGGGGCTTCAAAAGGTTTGTTGGAAAATGCAATTTAAAATAATGGATTTTTCTCATGAGCATTTGGAAGTCCCCACATGTACATATGAGCCACTGATGGCACAGTTAGCAGCTCGATAATTAATCCAACATGCCATACAGGGCATGGACGGACGGAGAAGGGGACACACACATTCTCTCTCTCTCTCTCTCTCTCACTTGAGGTGAGAGATAGCACCTTCACCAGGAAGAGTCTACAATAGGCACTTACCAGTCACTTTGTCCCGGGTGCTCTTCGGAAGATGCTTCGCAATATGCCCGAGAACACACAGAATATGTCCCAGGGTATTTGAATTGGGATTCTTTTGACTAGAAAAAGGGAGAAGAAATGGCAATAGAGAATCAAAGGAAGCACTATTGCCAACAACTTACCTTTTTCTCTGGCAAATGATTACTACTAGGGGAACTAGGGGAATAGCAAGGTATAAAAGTCAAGTTGTAGGAACAGTAAGACAATATCCTCAGAAAAAAGGTAACCAGAGAGCTCAAAATTGATTTGGAGTGGTTATTCTGTTTCTTATGCCAGAACGGAAAGGCGAGGAAATCTCTGAAAATCAATGGCTATGAGAAGCTAACTTGCATAAGACCTTCCATCTGCTTGTAGCAAAGACTCTGTCATGCCCATTAGAGGTTAAACGGTAAGCACGCCAACCTGCTGATTTTCTCCCAGCACTCGATAATTTTGGTGTAGTCCAACTTGGGTGATGAGCAAGCAATCTTGGAGAGCAGCATCCAAGCTGGTGCAGAATGTTCTGTGCCAGTGTGGGATATCAAATTGTTTATAAAAGTAGGTGAGAACTTATCTTTCTTGGACCAGATAAGAAAAGCCTTATTTAAATAACGACTAGAAAAATAAAGACAGAAATGCAGAAAGGTTATTTATTTTTAAGCAAAGAATAACAATTCACATTTGAGACTTTCTCATCATAATTCCCTCCAAAATTTCCAAGCAATCATATGGGATAGGTTACCAATTAAATCATTAATATAGAAGTTACAGAATTACAGTGGCAAAGCAAAAAATAGAGTGACAAACAACAGAAACTGTGTGTGGGGGTGTGTGTGAGACAGCAGTCAGTGTAAGATATGAAAATAATAACATCATTTACCAAGGGGTCATGAGGGTGGGAGATGTGGAGGGAGGGGAAAAAGAAGAGCCAATACCAAGGACTCAAATAGAAAGTAAATGTTTAGAAAACAATGATGGCAACATATGTACAAAATAGGCTTGATACAATTGATGCATAGATTGTTATAAGAGCTGTAAGAGTCCCCAACAAAATAATCCTTAAAAAAAAAAAAAGACCTAATCTTTTCAATGACACCTGGTATTTAAACATGGCCTTATTACAAAACAAACCAAAACTACGGGTGCCCTTAAATCAATTCTGACTCGTGTTAGATTACAACTGTGCTCCATAGGACTTTCAATGGCTACTTTATCAAAAGTCGATCTCCAGGCCTTGCTTCTGAGTCTACTTCAACTTTCAACCTTTCAATTAGCAGCCAAGCACATTAACTGTTTGCACCACCCAGAGATTCCATGGTAACAAACTCAGCACAATCTGCTATGCTGAACGTCATACAGAAATATGCTAATCTTATGATAAGACAAAAAATGGTTCTGATGTATTAAACTGTGTATGTTATTTCACTTTTGTTTTTAAGCCATCTTTTATTTTACTTCTTTTCACAGCACTGTGTGAGGTTTTATTTCTCAACATATTACAACAAACTCCATTCCCAATTAATTTTCCTTAGAGTGCTAGGTATACACAATAACAAATGTCACTAAGTAATAAAAAAAGAAAAGTCTCAAGTCATGGTGAACGAGGCTACTACAAAATACCATATACACTCGTGAATAAGCCGAGTTTTCCAGCACATTTTTAATGCCGTTTTTGAGGTAAAATTAGGTGCCTCAGCTGATATTCGGGTCGGCTTATACTTGATAATATATGGCAATAGATACATTAACATACCACAATAAGCATATGCATATAAATTAATTTTATTAATAAGTTAGCTATGGACTACAAATCTATTCACACATGTCTAACAGATTTATGGAAGATACCTGAAAACACAATTTTTAATCTAATGTCAAAATATCAAAATACTTATGAAACAAAATGCATTTTAAAATACATTAACAAGAATGAGACAAAAAAGTCCTTCAGATAGTCTAAAAAATTATCATTAGTCCCCCAGTCTGCAGCAGAATTGCTGGGCTTTGAAACAAATCACTCTATCTCCTTCTCAAACCTAAATAAGCAGTAGAGTTAAAAAGATACAATTCCAGACTAGGCCCCATATCTGAGGCCACTCTGTCAGGTAATCGAGTGGGAAAATTTGGATTGTCACTCTGTACAATTGTCAAATACAAAACCCCAGGAATATAAAACTGGAGGGAAAGATTCTCCAGGTTCCTCGGCCACGGGGCAAAGGGAACAGGCACCCATGGAAGTTTGCATCCAGCACACAGCTTTGGAGCATGGGAAGGCCATTGTGATGGAACTTTCCTGTTGCATATTCCTTTGTCTGTTAACTAAAACGACGCTCACTACTGCCAATACTCTGTGTTCTGTGTCTGTGACTTGATCATGACAGAAGGTACCAGAAGGTGGAATTTTCATCCCAGAACGCTACTGGGTACTTGGGAACCAGAGATGGTCTTTAAGGTAACCTGAATATACAACTACAAGAGTCACACCAAATGCTTCCTCATATTTACTACATACAGCTAACGGAATGAGGAAAACAAGTATCTGAACTTAGGGCTTTGAAATAAAATTTGGCTACTCTGTGACAACTCCTTTTACAATTAGCACCCCACATCATTTTGAGCAGTTCACAAAAAGGCTGGCGCCTTACCTCCACTTCCTTATCTAATGAAAACAGGACTTAACAGACACAAACCAGTTTCTTGTAAAAATCATGACAGACCTCTAGCCTTATATCAAGTCACAGATACCTTTCACTGGACCTCTATTTGACTTTCCTGGCCACTCTTCATCCTTAGATCCTGTGATGGCAGCTTCCAGTTCTTGATTTACTTCGCTGTCTAATCTTTTCCATTCAGTCACTAACTTCTGTTCTAATCACTTTAATTGTGGATTTCAAGTCCTTCTATTCTGAGTCTTCTTTACAGCCTAACCCTGCGTGACCTCACTCGTAACCAAGAGCCCCCACTCCGATGTTAACTGCCTCACAAGCACAGGTCACAACGGAACTTCCCTCTCCAGCCCATTCTCCCCGACTGAGCACTGATGGGTATTGCAATTATACTCCCTGCTTATTGAGCAACTTGCAATATGTTATACCTAAGTTTTATAGTGCTCTATATTCCACAACCTTTACTGTTCTGAATAATTCCGAATAATTCCTTTCCTCAGATCAGTGGGTAGCACAGTTTTCTAGTTTCAGGACCTCTTACAACGCTTAAAACTAAGTACGGCAAAGAGCTTTTGTTTATGTGCATTACATCTACTGATGTTTCCACATTAGAAATGAAAAGAGAAAATTTAAAAAGAGGAGTGTTAGTTTGTTTACAAATAACAATATATCCAATGCATATTAAGAAAATTATTTATGTCACAGAAAATTGCTATCCTTTTTAAAACAAAAAAACTTCAATGAGAAATATGTCAACATTTTTATTCATCTCTTTAAAGACTGGCTTAAAAGTGGGTTCTACTGTTTGCTTTTGCATGAAATCTGTCTCAATATCATCAGACAGCCTCTGACAATTTATGTTTTTTGGGTTTTTTTTGACATGGATTGTTTGTCAGTAAAGATTCCAAGTCCATTTCAATTTACTTTTCCTCCTTTTTTTTAAGCCACTCAGACCACTATTTTGGTTTGAGGGATAAGGAATCTGGAAGGATTTTTTTTTTTTAAAGAAACACACTATATGTTTCAAGAAACGAAATCAACAATATCCCATTAAATTCTCCATATATGTGCTTGCCTTCACTCCTTCCTTCCTTCCTCCCTCACCCACTCCGTAACCTATCCCTCCTCTCTCCCTGTTCCAGCCCTTGTCCCAGCCTCTGGATAAGTAGAATGTACTATTACGAAAGAATGAGATTTAAAAATGGCAAAAGTAAATGTTCATATAACTATTTAACCTCAGGGATCCATCACAGTTGAGACTGCAGGCCTTCCTCATTTCCTACACTGGTTCTTCTAACTTTCTCACTCGGGTCTACTAAGTCTACCTTTACCTCCTTAACTTCGGGTACTTCAGTCTGATAAGTACCTCCTGAGAAAACAACGCAAGCAAGTGCTAGCGCTGCTATCATTCCCTCCTTTGCATTTCTCTTTCCCTATCTCCTTTCGACTAATCTAAAGTTCTCTTTTCCAGTTTGACAGAATGGGTCTCTTCATTCATTTTTCATGTACAGAACTTTCTTCATTAAATATCCAATGTGTTCCATTTGCCTCAAATTTTCTAATTACGGATTCCTTACTCCGTTGACTTCAATACTCACAGGTGGTTTCCCTTACCTTAAAACTAAAACAAAGCCTGCAATGGGTGCTCTGATGCAGCTTGCCTATACGATGCGACTCAATTTCAGAGATGTTAAAATGTAAGAAAATATGTATTCTAGAACTGTTGAAAACAGGAGAGTAGAGAAACACTGCCACAGAGACAAGCAAAGGGAATTTAGAAGAACATGTAAGTTTTAAAACGAGAGAAGGCAGAGAGGGCAACACATAAAGAGAAAAACCATGTTCAATGATACAACCCATGGTTTAAGAGGGCATAGTGGTGTGGATCATGCCTGATGTGGCGTTATAGGGCCACAGAAATGTTTGAGGGCGAATACAGGATAACAATGAAGAAGTAGTTAAAGTTCACATTTTATCCTAAAGTGAATAAAAGCCACCCAATTAAACATTTTAGGAAGATCGCTCTGAGGGCAGAGTAGAAGTCAGACTACAGCGAGAAGATACTAGAGGCAGAGAACCTGACCAGGAAGGAGTTAAGGGGAATTGAGGGAAGAAATGATGAGGCTTAAGCTATGATAAAGTCTTGAAGATGAAGGAATTCCAGAAATATGTGAACTGGAGAGCTGCCAGCAACTGGGAACAAATAGGCTGAGTACAAACTTGAGAAACTGGCAGAGTGCGGGGCAGAAGTGAATACGATGGGGGAAGAGATTGGCACGTTATCTAGGGTAACTTAGTGATAACATCTAATTTACATAAAGTTGGAATACAGAGGGAAAAGCAGATTGGGGGAGAAATCCAGTTGGCAGTTTAAAAGGTAGAACTGCAATACCAAGCTGGAGATACAAGCTTCCACCTTTCAAAATACTAATTTTTAAGTACATTATCAAATTATAATTACCTTCTACAACATTGTGGGAAACTGAGAACCAGGACGAGAGCATATGTGGACAAATCCTCTAGGCTCATAATTAAGAGTCTGGGAGGCAGACTGGTGGAGGAAGGCCTTCACGCACGTGAGTTGGAGATGAATTCACATTCTCCTAACTAAAAGTTATCCCCACACTGCCAGCCCTCTCCCCCCACTAATAATGCCAATCTTAGGATGCTTCCTAAAAGCTCACGGTTGTTTACTAGATGCTTGAAGGTTATTTGCCTGACGGTTGTCTGCCATCAAAAGCAATCAGACCCAACGTTCCTTTGCCACTTCACTATTCTCTTCACTATGTGTGACATGCATTAACTAGTTCTGCAGGCATAGTTCTGCTTTATGAACTATGAACATTATAGCCATTTCCTGCCTTGCACCTAATCCCCAAGGTTTTCAAAAGCACTTTTCAATCACTTAAGTATATGTGCCGCCAATATCTTGTCTAATAAGCTCTGGTACACATATATTCCTTTTTATACTAGTATTTTAAATTCTGTGCCATCAGTTAGATTATTAGTAAAAGAATCACTAAATGTTCCCTGTATGCTACTCATATTATTTTTCAAAACCTGATAATGTTGCATTGAAAGTAAGTCAGGGATATATGTAAATTAAATATGAAGGGATTTTCAGCCCTCACTTAATCAAAAACCCTAATCTAAGAATAATTCATTCTTATGATGTGGCTCTGTTTGATACTTGCCCTCATGATCACTATAGATATGGGTATTAGAGCAAAGTGTGATGAAGAAATCAGATGGTGCCGGCTATCAGAAAAAATACTCTCTGGGGTTTTACAGGCTTATCTTCAACAGTTATCTAAGCGAGGTGCCAGCTAAGTTCACACAGAAGAAGCACAGTAGCTCATGTGATCCAAAGAGTTCTAATGGTAAAGCCAAAGATCAGAGAATGATATTTGAGCAAAAATTCTGAACACCTGCTTTCCAGAAGGCCAAGGATGACAGTGAAAGCTCAAAACCATTTTGCAGAGTCCGGTGTACATCAAACCCCCCTCGAGTTCCTGAAGACTAGGCTCAGCAGACTGTGGCTCCCAAACCATGCACGGCTCTTTCCCTACATAAAGGTGGCTCTAAAGTAAAATTGAAAATTGATGGCACTTAATAACAACAATACAGATTAGTATTTAGAAAAATTGTCTTCAAACTCAGTAATCCGGACTTCCATTGAATGCTGTATCATTACATTTAAAAAAAGAAAACAAGAATAACTTGTGTGAAGAGACTGGTGATTAATTAGTGAGAAACATTGGTTATTACGGGGTAATAACACTTTTAGGTTATTAGTATTTGTTATATTGGGGAAAAGTGACATTGCATGTAGGTATAGTGAACAAAGCATACCAAAGTAAATGATGCTATTGAAAAGTGATGGGGTAAGATATGATAAAATAATAATAATTTATAAATTATCAGGAGTTTGGGGGGAGGGGGAAACGGGGAGGGAGGGGGAAAAGGAGGAGCTGACACCAAGGGCTCAAGTGGAAAGCAGGGGTTGTGAGAATGATGAAGTCAATGTATGTACTAATGTGCTGGACACAAATGATGTATGTACGGATTATGATAAGTTGTATGAGCCCCTAATAAAATGATTATTTAATTTAAAAAAAGTATTAAAAAGAAAAGATGTCACTTTGAAAAAAGAAAAAGGTGCTTCAGAGGAAAGAATGTCTAAAGAATTTGACACACATAAGGCGAGAACTCTAACAGAGACAAAAATGAAATTTATGAACTAGTATAGGCAAATAGCTATTAGGTGTATAATATCTATATGTAAGCATAAATTCAGATATGTATGTGTATATTCACAGAAAACACAACTGCACATATTACTCAAGCATAACCCAAAGCTTAACAAGATTAGTTTTCCTGGTTTTAAAGGCATAAAACCGTAGGCTCAAGGGGCAACCCAATTGGCATGAAATAGTTCATACAATTCATGTTCTGCATCCTAATAAAGTGAGTACACTCTAGGGTCGTAGAAGCTTGTGCGTGGCCATTGAAGATAAACTATTAATGCCTACTTATCAGGCACAAGAGAGTACAATATGGCAACCAAAATCTCCGAGAAGATGTCTACCAGGCTGATAACCTACATGTGCTCCACTCCCATCTACCCTGAGACCATACCAACGAGGCAGCGGCCAGCTACCACCATTGATGGTTCTGACTCGGATTACAATAGGTGGTCCTGAACAGAATAAGAGAAAATATAGAACCAAACTCCATTAAAAAGCCAAACTAACCAGCCCAGTGAGATGACAGAATTCCCTGAGACAGTTACCCAGAGACAGTCTTTCAGCCTTGAACTGAATTATAGCCTCCTCAGACCAACTTCAGCAGAATAACTGAGGGCCCCACAAAACAAAGGATAGTATTTCGAAGACGTTTTCTACTAAACAAATCTTTATGAGGCCAAAAGGTCTACATTTACTCTACAGCAAAGATGTGACAGTTAAGGAGGGAAACCAGAGTACTGGAAATGTAATAACCAGAACACAATAAAAAGCAATGTTGATGCACTGTCAAAATGTAACTAAAACACCGCGCGATTTGTATGGATATTGTCCAGCAGGAACCTAATCTTCTGTGCAAACTTTCAACAGACAAGCCAAAATAAATTTTCAAACTCTATAGATAAGCATAGTCATAGCACCATTGCAGACAGCAGTGTAAAACTAAAAACAACCCGATTATCCATAAACAGTAGTGTGGTAAACAAATTGTGGTTTAGTAAAACCTGAAAGACATAGAAACTTATAAGTATGTTTATATACATATATGTTTATGTATTTATGTACATGTAATTCTGACATACACAGAACAATGAAAACAAGTAAACCACAGTGAAACACAATAACCTGAATGAAATCTTATGTTACAATGGCTCTTACTGGGTAACAGGGACTAGACACACAAAAGGATATAGAACATATAATTTTATTTATATAAAGCTTACAAAGATAAAAAAGTAATATATGGTGCTGAAATTCTAAGTAATGGTAAACTCTATGATCGAAAGACTGTGTAAGGGTGTTTCTTGAGCCTGCGTAGTATTTCCATAGATATAGTTTCTTTTTAAAGTCATTTTATTGGGGCTCTTACAGCTCTTATCACAATCCATACAGACATCCATTGTGTCAAGCACACTTGTACATATGTTGCCATCATCATTCTCAAAACACTTTCTTTTTACTTGAGCCCTTGGTATCAGCTCATTTTCCCCTCTCCCCCACTGATATAGTTTATGATATTTACTGATTATAATTTATAATCTTGTATGCATATTTTACTTCAATATAAAGGTTAAATAAAGACAAGTACATAAATGAAATAAACTTTTCAATAGCTTTCCATGCATTGTGCCTCTCTCCCTGCTTATTTGTGAAAAAGAGTTATCGCCTGCACAAGTTATCCCTAAGACAAAGGAATTCATTCTTTTACTAATTTTCCTTCTCTTCTAGATATCCCAGCGAAGCATATAGTGGTTTACGAAGCACAAAATATCAGTGTAAAGGGGTAGATATCAATGTAATAATTGAGAATAGTTGTACTATAGGACAACATGAAAACACACCTTCCTTTTCTGTTTGTCATTTTCTTGGTCTCTCTTATCATCTATTACTATTCTTGCTATTCTTTAAAGTATAACTCAAATCCAGTCTCCTTCATTCAGTTTTCTGGACATCTAAATAAAAGTAGCATACTCCTCTGTATATGTCTTATTCTCTCACATCAAATTTAAATTCTCTTTCTTAAAAGCTTTCTTTGAATCAACGACATACTTGGTACTTAGAAAAATTAATGAGTGAACACATTTTCAAATGTAGAGTTTTAATACCAAAAGGGATCTTAAGAGATGATGTAATTCAACTGGCTCAACTTACCGATGAGAAAAGTAAGCCCAGGGATTGGAGGTGCTTTGCCATGGCCACAGAACAGTATTTTATGAAACTATATCTGTTACTTTTTCTACTGTATGATAATTCCTCCATAACTATATGTAAATGAGTAGAAGTGTTTCTTATATAGTAAGGAATAATAAAACTACAAGATTAGTACAATACAAATGAAATAAATCATTGCAGGTCCTATTTCATAACTATAACATTCACAGTACACAGTTATGCAAAACAAATGTTATTAAATGAGAGAACTACAGTGTTATTAAATCAGGTTAAGGAAAGTTCAACTTGCAAGAACTAGGGAGTCATCTCATATTAACTAGCATTGTGGAAAGCTGCTACTAATGTACTATGTATCTATCTGTGTTTTCAACCATATATGAAGATCAGTTTAAAACTGGAGCACACTCAGTGCAAAGCGTAGAAAGGGGTCAGATTTTTCACAAAAATACTGTCACCACAAGAATGCTAAGAACTGTGAAATAGAAGGTCAAGAGGAGAAGATGGAAATTAAGTCTTCATATAGATTATTTCAGAACGTTGACTCCACCCACCCCCAAGATCAATTAAGTCACAAAACCCCAGTAGGCCTTCGGGTAACATACCTTAGTTCCTGGCTTTCTGCAGTGAGGAGAGGAAGAAGTGTCCAGGCTAGCACCTGGCTGTCGTCGCCACTGTGAAATCTATTGTAATGCTTAATGTTCTGCAGCAGGAGTTGGTCCAGGCATTCCAGCGCCTTCTCCTGCACAGTGCTCTCACAGTCCATCACCACAGGGATGATCCCTGTCAGCCAGGCTTTCTGTATCGGGACACATCTAGGTTGGGCCTTAAGATATTAAAATGATGAAATTAAAAGTATGGTAGTTTGATGATATCAGAAATCTCAATACAAATCAGAGAAGTTGTGATCAATGTTTTGTAAGATATAATCAGGACTACTACTGCAAATTAAACATAAAGTAAAATGAAACAAACAAGAAAACCCATTCAAAATGTATGCAAAGATAAAGTTCATCTACCAGTTATTGTAAATCAGTACAGACAGATATTTTAAACATATACAATAAAATCATAATTGTATTATCAGTAGTAAATTAGCATTTTTGTTAATGCAAGATAAAAGCATATGATAAATATTTAGCTCATGGAGCAATTAGGATAAATGTCGGCTGAAAAAAAAATCAATTGCTTAATGACTTCTATCATGCAATAAATAAACAGTTTTCAAACACATCAAAAGATAATATGTTGGTAGGCTAATTGTATATAGTGTTAATAGATCTGCTTTTGGGGAAAAATAATCTAAGTATATGTCTTAACAGACAAAACTTAATTCAGGCTTAATGTTATCCAAATTAATTTTAAAATGGATTTTTCCTAGGTGAGATTTGAGCTACAGGAAAGGGCTAACCATTCACATTATCAAGCATTAGTACCCAATTATACTTACTATGAAATAGCCCATGATGTGCAATTAAAAGATGCTTCTGACTTGCTCTAACAATGCAGTCTTTCAGTGGTAGTTTCCAATGGTCAGCAGAATATTTAGCACCATTATTACCATACTGAGTTATTTCTAGATATCAAAAATCGTGCACTGGATACAGAATATGATGCCTTGACTCTTACCACAAGAAGGTCAGTAAGGGACTGCAGGGCCTGCTTCCGGACAGACACTGCAGGGTCTCGACACTGGTCCTGCAGAATCAATAGGTCTTCCGTCATACCTGATATTTCACAGTGCTTCAAAATGCTCACTAACACCTAGAAGGCACATAGGCACCATGATATAATAACTATGTGTAACAAACACAAAAAGGCAAGCTGCAGAACAAAAGGTACTTCCAAGTCTGTAATCCTTAATATTTTGGGGTCACGGATACATCCTTTCCTCCTGCAACAATCCACCTTTTATAACCGAATGAAAATTAAGGTCCCCCTCTCTAGCAAATTTAACATACATTATATAAACACATATTTATAAACACCTTCAGGGGTTTCATGAAACCCTAATGAAATATATCCATGATTCTCCAAGCTTTAAGAATTCCTATTCTAAACAAGAGAATAAGGTTATAAATGTATGATTATTAGAAAGCCAGCAACCAAGCAGAAATACTTAGAAATAGACAATCCTTCAGATCATCTATCTAATTTCTATATAAAAGGAGCAGGGTCCACTATCGGTTAATTGAAAAGCAAGGTAAACAACATGTATGACCTTGTGGTAGTTAATGATTTTATGCTAACTTGAAGATGTATGAAAGTGTTGGGGTGTGGTCACAGCCTGATAGTGCTTCCTTGGCAGTGCGGCCTTCTAATGAGGAGAAGCCTAGACCTTCTTTCTGTCCCACCCTTCTCGCCTTCTCTCTGCTGCTGATCCTGAGAGCGGGCCAAGTGGGCCATGTTCCCACCAAGCTTGGATCCACACCACTCTGCACTCAACGGCCAGTGATTTCCTGCAGTCTGCATCACTGCAGGTGGCTGCTGAGTCTGAAGAGAAACTTATGCATCAGACTTAGGGACTCAAACTGGACTGGGCTGGGATATTTTCTTACATATAATTATTTCTTGATATAAAGTTCTTTCTTACACATATATGAGTGTCCCTGGACTTGTTTTTCTAGTCAACTCAGCCTAACCCATACCTAAATATTTTTTAAAACAATCTTTCACACTTCCCAAGTTTTTAGTCATTACAAAGATAGTACACACACACACACACACACACCCCACACACACACGTCTAGAAAAAAATTCACACCTGGAGTGCAGATTTCCTAACATTGGTCTTCTCATCCCTGAGTCTCTTCCTCAGCATTGCCATGACACATCTCTCTGCTGAGATACCACCAACGAATCAATGTTGCACGAATGACTATACAGTACCAAGAGAACAGTCTACGAGTCTTATTGTTGTTTTACATGCTTTTTTAGAAAAAGTCAGAGTATGAAATTACACACAAAACTGGAAAAAAAAAAACCTAATAATTAACAATTCATAGTAATGTAAAACCAGATTAATATAATAAAAAGGGCATAAACGCTGAAGATTAAAAGCCTAGTTTTAAATCCTGGCATTTACCTCTAAAATTATCAGTGACCTATTAAGTTCTTACTGAATAATCTTTCATTTAGCTATAAATATTAGTATCTAACCAGAGGGTTGTTTTAATGATTAAATGAGATCTGGTAATAAATAACAGGTTTTACAACTTTTTGGTTATAAGTCACTTTACACTATCAAAGATTACTGAGCAGCCCAAAGAGCTTTTATTTGTCTGAATCAAAACTATAATCAAAATATTACAGAATTACAAAAATATTTTAAAATAGCAATACATTTTAATATAAATTCCAAATGCTTTATGAAAAATAAATATAATGTGCTCCCCCCCAACACCAAATTCAGTAAAAGAATGGCACGACTTTATATTTTTCCTGACGGTTTAATGCCTGGCTTTATAATAGACATCCTATTTCTGCATTTAGTCTATTCCAAATTCAGTATGTCAAGATCTCTGAAAAATTCTACTTTACTCTTGTGAGAAACCAGGGCGCAGAAGGTAAACAATTTAAGGACACCTTGAGGAGTCATAGGGATGTCCAAGGTCCCCCAAGCCCTACTTTGAGAACCACTGATGTGTAAGAAAGCACATAAAAATGTAAAAGAGGACTGTCGGGTCATGCGATCTTCTAATCCAGCCTCCCAAGCAGTGATACAGACAACTTACCTACTGCTAATATCATCTGCTTTATAACGAACAAAAATTCACTGCCGCCAGGTCAGTGTTGACTCACAGCGAGCCCCTGTGTGTTTCTGAGACTGTAACTGTTTACGGAAGAAAGCTTAGTCTTCTCCCACGGAACTGCTGGTGGTTTTAGACTGCTGACCATGTGAACCGCAGCCCACCCCAAAGCCACTCCACCACCAGGGCTCCTTTAGACATGCATCTTAAAAATCACTCTGACAAAGGGGACCTTGCCTCCGTTCTGAAGAAGAGAGGAGAGGAGAAGACAATTCAGTTGCTGCCATACAACACTGTGCTAAGGGCACCTCAAATCAACAGATACTCTTAACAAGAGAGAGAAGTCATCATTAGTGGAAATTCTCGTCAAGATGAAGGGACAAGGCATATCCGTATAGACTCGTATTTAAGCCAAGTTTTCCCAGCACATTTTCAATGCAGTTTCTGAAGTAAAATTAGGTGCCCCAGCTGATATTCGGGTCGGCTTATACTCACTCGAGCACATACAGTATACCTAGAAGACACCTATACTTTTGGTGGTGGTAAACTGGGTAGAGCAACCTACCATGGGGGGTGGTGTGAAGCTTAACAATACTTATAAAAAATCCAAGTGGAGATTCAGCTCAGTATTATAATCCTAATGGGACATTTTGACCTAGTTCCTAGCCAGCCTTTGGTGTATTATCCAGGCCGTGTGTTACACACTACTGGGACTCGAGACCTTGTCCTGTCAAGGCACACACCATCCTTTACAACCCACATCAGAAGGATTCCTTGTGGAAACTCCACTGAGTGAACTGGGATTTACCTCAAACTCACGGGTAACACATTTAAAGAACTGACATACTCCCCTGGACTGAAGGCTGACATGCCCTACTGTGAAAAAGAGGTAGAGAAGATGGCTAGTCCAGGGTTATGGAAATGGTGGCCTTTGGTCTTTGATCCCGATTTCTTGCTCTGAGGGTGCCCAATGAATGATGGCCCAGGACTACCATATAGTTACTATTTTAATGCTCTCAATGCTTTCTTATGACGTGTATTGTTTGGTAGGCCTGGGTCTGTATTTGAGAGTAAGTGGTATTCAAAGTTTTCTCCTATCACCAACCCCCATCATTTTTATAAAGTGTCCAGTCACTTAAGTTTAATCCGTATAACTTAACAATTCATGTATTGAGGGCTGAAGACAGCATATATTTGTACAGTTTCCTTTTCTCAACAATTTTCTAAATTCTATACCACTGGCTAAATTAATGACACTAACAGAATGATCTTATGTCCCAGGGGGATGATTTATAATGTTCTCGACCAAAAAATGATGATGTTTCTAAAACAAACCAGATATATACATATCATAGTTATAATGAATGGATTTGGGGCTCACACTTAATTCTAGCCCCAATCTAAGAACAAGTATTTCTTATGGAATGACCCTACTTGCTACTTGCCCTCCTGAAGAGATGACTGAAGATATGAGTGCTATAGCAAAGTGCAGTGAAGAAACCAGATGGTGTCTGGTTATCAGAAAAAAGAGCATTTGGGGGCGTCTTAAAAGCTTAGACTAAAGCAAGTAGCCATGTAAGTGAGGTGTCAACTAAGTCCACATGAAAGAAGTATACTAGTCAGTGTGATTCAAGGTTTGTAAATAACAAAATCCATCCCAAAGGAAGGCATGCTATCAGAGCTTAAATGACAAAGATTTGGTTTGCAGAAGGCTCTGGATGACAGTGGAAACCAAAAATCGATTTGCAGGGCCCCCACATGAATTCAGCCTTCAATGAACACCCTCTGGTTCATTCAAGGGATGTGAATAGCCTTGTTACGACAGCGAACACTGTCAAGTCCATGTTGGCAGATGGAGCTGTTTTACAATGCAATACCTTAGATCAGCAGTTCTCAGCCTGTGGGTCGTGACCCCTTTGGGGGGTGTGTGTGTCAAACTACCCTTTCACAGGGGTCACTTGATTCATGACAGTAGCAAAATTACAGTCATGAAGTAGCAAAAAAAATAATTTGATGGTTGGGGTCACCACAACATGAAAGGGTCGTGGCATTAGGAAGGTTGAGAACCACTGCCTTAGATCATTAGACCATTTGGTCTACCTTTTGACACTAATTAAAGTCTCAGTTTTTACTATTTTCTGCTTTCTTTTCATTTGAGATTTTTTTTCCTGCTTGATCTACTCATTGTTGTTAGTTTTTTGCTTCCTGTTTGTATTCTGTGTGATTTTCCATATATGAAAACCAGGCTAGGCAAATCTATCAAGATAGTAACCAGATTAATAATTAACTACTGGAATGGCGGGGGATTGGGAGGAAAAGGGAGCTCACAAAAATGAGGTCGAGAAAACGTTCTGAAACCGACTGCAGTGATGATGGCACAACTCTTCTTCAAGGGATCGAACAGATCAATGGTATGTGAGGCATATGCCAATAAAACTACTTTTAACATGTCATAGAGGACATAAACACACAAAAACAACAAAGTCAATGAAACCGAAAGTTGGTTCTCTAAATAAAAAATTAATAAACCTATAGCTAGACGAACTAAAAAAGATTCAAATGTGAAGATCAAGAATTAATAGACAATACAATCAACTTTATAGAATTAAAAGTATCATGAAAAGATTATAAATAATTTATGCCAATAAATTATATAAGCTAGTAATAGACCATATATACTCGAGTATAAGCCGACCCAACTATAAGCCGAGGCACCTAATTTTACCACAAAAACTGCATTAAAATGTGCTGAAAAAACAGCTTATACATGAGTATAAGCCTCGTGTATAAGCCTCTCACCATAGTCAAGGGATCTGAATAGCCTTATGGTAGATACTGTTAAGTTAAAATGTACTATCATTTGTTCTCTTTCGACCCATTTAAAGCGTGTTTTGGAACCGATTACAAGGAACTATATGTGACCTCCTCCCTGGGGGACAGACAACCGAAAAGTGGGTGAAGGGAGACGTCGGGACAGGGCAAGATATGACAAAATACCAATTTATAAACTATCAAGGGCTCATGAGGGAGGGGGAAGCGGGGAGGGAGGGGAAAAATGAGGACCTAATGTCGGGGGTTTAAGTGGAGAGAAAATGTTTTGAGAATGATGTACAAATGCGCTTTACATAATTGATGTGTGTATGGATTGCGATAAAAATTGTATGAGCCCCTAATAAAATGTTTAAAAGAAAAAAAAAAGAATACTTCCTTCAGAAAAAAAAACAAAAACGTGTTTCAGTTAAATGAAAAAAAAAAATAATAGAGTGAAAAGGAAATACATGTTGATTAAAGCCTCCATTGAATCAATCCCCTCTGATCATGTACTAGAGAGGTGAGCCTTGCTATCGTACAGTGCATTGGAAAGTGGATTACTCTAGCTACAGTTAGATTAAAATGTAACACCTATCATCTAACATCCCTTTTGATCCATTTAAAATGTGTTCTAGTGTTTAATATTTTCAACTTTCTTTTGATTGAGGTTTTCCCGTTTTACTTTGTTATTGCTTTTAGTTTCTTTTTCTGTAGCCTTTTTAAAAAAATGTCTTCTGTATATGCAATCCAGTACAGGTAAATTTATTGAGATAGTAACTGGATTAATGGTTTCTTGGGAGGTATGGAAGGGGAGGTTGGGGGGAACATTAATTGGGGTATGATGTTACTGTCTAAATTCCCAACAGCAAAAATAAAACATTTTAATGAAATGGCTCATACTGTTAGTTCACAGATATTAAAAAGTAAATCCCAAATGATCTTTTTCAGTGAAGTTTGGATATCAGTTCCCTATCATGGAATTCAAGTAGATACTCAGATGGCTAACCAGAGTCAATATAACATGGTGGCAAGTGTGACGAGGTAGAGAAAAGAGGAGCAAGATTCGGTCCCATTAGGTCTTCATCTTTTCCTTTTTTTTCATAAGGCTTTTTACCGAACACACACTTAATCACTACTATACTTTCCTAGCAGCAAGTCCTTCTTTGGTCAGAAATCCCACAGAGTTTATTAACCAATTACTTTAATAAGGAATTGAGTTATTTTCTTATGTTCTGTTAAGGGTGAGCATATTACAGTAACTGAAGTGAAGCTTTTTCTTTATCTTAAAATAAGATGTAGAAGACTTCAAAGACCTTAGTTAAAGATATAATAAAATAGAAATTAACCTCTTTTAGAAAGGTGTTTCAATACTTAAAGTTTGTTAATCAGAAACAATCCTACGGTTTTAGATTTTACTGTTTACTACAATCTAATACTTATTACCTACAGAATAGCAGTGATCTTGACATACCCTGCGATTCCTCGGTGGTAATGCTCTTGCCTGCAATGGCCACCTGTGAGCCTCCAGAAGGCTCAGAGGGCTGCCGCTGAAAGGAAAAACCTGGGAAAAAAAGAAAAATTCATTAAGGTAAAAATTTATCTCACTGACAATGTAAGCGTTGCATGCTACTCATTTAAGTTGTTACATCATTACTAAAATAAATTTTATTTCCTGGATGAAGCAAAATATATATGCATACAATATTAACTAGACAAAAATACTCAAAATTTTATTTTAGTGTATGCGCTGCCAAAGCAAGCACTCAAAAATTTATTTAATTAAAAAGACCATTATGAATTATTTGAAGGTATACTACCTGATGAGTTTCTGAACACGGTACCAGGGTGACTCTCTGTTCCTGAAACTAAAAGACCTAAAAATATGCAGAAAGGTAAGAAAGGGTAAGTTAGTGTCACCAACCTTGGTTCCAGATCCATCCAAACCAAACTCATGGCCATCGAGTCCACTTTGACTCACAGCAACCCTAGGGCAGGGCAGAAATGCCCCTGTGGGTTTCTGAGGTGCTCACTCTTTCTGGGAGGAGAAAGCCCAGTCTTTCTCCACCGGAGCAGCTAGTGGTTGGGAATTGCTGACCTTGTGGTTAGCAGGCCAATCTATAACCACTCTGCCAACAGGCTCCTCAATATCCTCAGAATTAAGTTCAAGATAATGATGCCCAAGAATAAAAAAGACAGATTCTAAATCTTTCACAATTAATACTATTCTCCTTCTTGGGTAAGCACTTGAAGGGATGCGTAATTGTTGTTGTTGTGAGGTGCTGTTGAATCGGTTCCAACTCACAACGACCTCAGACCCAACAGAAGGAAACAGTGCCCGGTCCTGGGCCATCCTCACAATTGTTTTTATGTCGAGCCCAGTGTGGCAGCCACGGTGTCAATCCCCATCTTGTTGGGAGCTGCCTTCTTTTTTTGGTGCCCCTCTACTTCACCAAATATAATGTCCTCCTCCTGACAATGTGCTCAAAGTATGAGATGAAGTCTCTCATCCTTGTCTCTAAGGAACATTCTGGGGACGTCTGGAATGTTAACCCCCAATATACCTAAGTCTACGGCCAAATGTGAAGTACTATTAAAGGTAGCTAACATTCTCCCCTTTAAAATGATTTTATGAAAAAACGTATTGAAACAAGTTTATGAGGCAACAAATAGACCAAAACGATTATTTTTGTCACCAAAAAAGAAAAAAAAAGACTCCAATGTAGTTGAATTTCGTGGCAACCACATCCTGGATTTCATGTGATAAAAGTTGTCATACTCACTGTTAATGAGAAGTTCCAGTACACTCTCCGATGTGTTGGCAACAGACAACTCCAAACAATGTGCAAAACTAGATAATGCCTTACTGCGGACAGTAGGTGCCTTGTCTAAACAACGGTCCAATATAATTTCCTGTACTAAGAATTTATGCGTCAAGAACTTCTGACGCTCCAAGGACAGCTTGTTATCCACCTCTCTTTCTGGCAATTGTATCAGCGCTACTGCAACATCAAGAGTAAACACTCGGTGTGGGATCTGGTAAAGCAAAATCAGAAGAGCATCTATCAGATGAAGCGAACATTCAAAGAAGCCCTCTTAATGCATTCAGCTCTGGGTGTCATTAGAAGTTTGGAGAGCCAAGACCCACGGCTCTATACTCATCTCCTACCTTGGAACTCCGTGAATATTTGTAAAGCCAGGTAATAAATGCAGCATATTCCGCAGGTGGAAGTTTATCGAGCAACTGCACCAGAGACTGGGCTGCATGGGTTCGATACTCTGATTTATCGACCACCTGAAACACAAACAGGGAAGCTGTCCAGGCCACAGCCACCTGAAGGGCAACTGAAGCACATGTTCTAACAAAATTGAGTGGTTTTTACATGTAACAAAAACGACTAACATATTTTAAGTTACAGATTCCTTTGAACACTAAGCTATCAGATAGCTATTTACCCAGAAAAATGCACTCATAAATGCAGCATCATTTCAGGGAGTTTATGGACCCCTAGAATTAATCAACTTTTAGATAATAATCATTTGTTCAATCTATTAGAAAAATTTAAGAGATAATGAAATAAATGTGCACAGTGACTGAATATTTGAAATCAAGGAATTAATGCATTGCTTAGGTGTTAATAATCAAGATAATTTGTAGTTATATCTTTAGACTCTCAACATACTTAAATATACATATATATAAAGTATGCTTCAAAAAATACCAATTGTACACATTATTGGGTGGAGTATAAATAACAGTGTAGAAACTGGGTGGTGGGTATGTGATAGTTCATCCTGCAAATCTATTTTTTCTTTATGTTTGAATTTTTTCATGTGTGTGTATTTTAAAGAACACTTTAAGCTGATACCAAGGGCTCAAGTAGAAAGCAAATATTTTGAGAATGATGAGGGAAACATGTACAAAAGTGCTTGACACAATCGTATGTGTGGATTGTGATAAGACCTGTACAAGCCCCCAATCAAATAATTATTTAAAAAAGCAAAAAAACAACTTTGCCTAAGAAAGACCTACACCAAAAACTAAACCCACAGTCACAGAGTTGATTCTGACTCATAGTAAAGCATGTAGCCTCATCTTTCCTCTGTGGAGTGGCTGGTGGGTGGGTTTGAACTGCCACCCTTGTGGTCAGCAATCAAACCTTTACTCAACAGTGCCACCAGGGTTGCAGGAAAACATCCAGTGATGATCCAATAAAACACTTTTAGTAATGATAGACACACTGTGAAGAAAAATACACACAGACATACAGATATATATAGACAATTCAATTCTATTAATACACTATTATTAAATCAAACGATACCTTGGCACATATATGCTGGAGTAAGATACGAAGAATAGGGAATATGCTTTCTTTTAGCTCATCCACAAGCAAGCTATTGAAAAGAAAAAAACATTCTCTATTACAATGCATCTATAATTACAAAAATTTTTATTTACTCTATTCTCAAAAATCATCATTATATTTTAGAATTCCTAAACATTAAAAACCATCTCCTCTAATACTGGAAGACTCATTTTGGTAGAACAAAAAATCAAAATGCAAAATGTCACAATACAAAATATATAAATATTATATATCAAGATTTATAGAGTTGTCACAGAGTAGAAAGATACAGGAATAGTCTCCAAAAAGTTAGTGAGACAATGGAATGAAAGGATAATGAAATTATTCATGAGTTTTTAGAAACCCCCTTTTTGTCATGTCAATGGAATGGTAAAAATATTCACATTATGATTTGATTACGTATAAATCTCATATTTAGGACTCTTAAATACCCTGGGGATAAAATACAAGGATGAGTCAGAAAGTATCACTACCAAGGATGCAGTCCATACATGCATAGGTGTATTCCAAGCAAAGAGGTATGTTTGCACATGTCTCTGTGAACAGTAGATGGCTGCAAACGAGAGCTCTCAGTAATACACTTATCTTAATCACAGTAGGGTATTTTACAAACAATTTTGACGCTAGGCCTTGAACATAAACTTTTTAACAAAAGTCATGTAATCAGACATCTTCCCAAATCAGTGCAACACTGCAATTCTGAGAAAGCTGCCCATATAAAACAGCAGTGCTCAGATGACCAAGCACTTTAAGGAAGGTCGGAAGACCTCATAGATGAGTCAAGAGAAGGGGAGCCATCAATCAACCTTAGCAAATGAAGAAACTGTGGCTGCAGCCCAGAGACTGGTGGTGAAAAATTATAGAATTACCATTGATGCCACAATTACCAAAGCTGGGATCTTCAATGGCTCAACATTTTCCATTTTTACTGAAATCCTGCCCTCAACAAGTTTTTTCAGCTAATCATGATAGAAGTGAATGCCTGGTTTTCAGAGAAAGGCAAAAATCCATTTGCTGAGTCCCTACATGGATTAAGCCTCAGGTGAATTCCCACTGACCACTGACCATAGATGTGAATATTATTGTTAACCAGTCAGTGTGCACTGGAAAATGGACTAACACAGAAGCAGTTAGGTTAAAATTTAACATCCTATCATTTGTCCTCTCTTTTGGCTCATTTAAAATTTGTTCTGTTCAACACTGGAGACACAATGCAGGAACTGTGCCGGCGAAATACCAAGGATGTGCAACAGAACAGAAAGGGAAACAGCAACGCCGTCCCCAGGAAATATCAAAAATAGATTTGGGGGCCAGGACGTGGCACTTCATCAGACTCAACCGGAAAACACTCCTAAAGATCAACAAACAGACCTTGAACTATTTACAGACTTTTATTTTGTCTTTGGTTTTTTGTGGTGCTGGTGGTTGTTTTGCTTTCTTTTGTTGCTTTGTTTTGCTCTGTCTTGGGTTTTGTGCATATTATTATCTCTGAGGTCTATCTAGATAAGATGGGTGAGATAAACAATCTGGAGGAGAAAACAATGGGACCAATTATTCCGGGGGAGACAGGGGAGAGGGGGAGGCAGGGAAAGGAAGTGGGTGCTACCAAACCCAGGTACAAGGGAACAACAAGTAATCCATAATTGATTGGCGAGGAGGGTGTAGAAGGCCTGGTGGGGCTTGATCAAGGGTAATG